GAGAAATACATTGTTAGATTTTATTTGAAATACTTGGACTTCAAGCCAAGATTATTCATTTATTTGGAGGGAAAGGATTTAACAAGAAAATGTCTTCATGGTTCTATAATCAGTATTTCAACAGCTGTAGACAAAAACAAGGAAAAGGTTAGCCCATTTTGCAGAATAAGTGTATTAAGAAAATGAACACATGAGGAACATCAGATAAAATTCCTTGGGTACATTGCTTAGAAGAATTACAAATGACAGATATGGCTGGCAATTTTTTTCATGCAACAATCTTGTTCCCTCTTCTCTGCCGAACAGCCTTAGTAGGGAGAGATAAAAATTAAGCTAAGATGGTTGTTGCAAACCAGTCAAGGTCAAGTAATCAAACATGTGAGCCACATGCACTCAAGGAGTTGCATGGTTTGTTTTAGCAGGTCATGGTTACAAGATAGAGGTGTCACTCAGGGATTTTTATTCAAAGACCTGAACCTATTCAGTATAAAGAGTAGTAATAAGACTGGAAAGTGTATGTCTCTTTCAGTCTTGGAGTTTTGCTGGAGCAGTAGTTGCAGGCAATTGCATTTTGAGAGAAACAGGGTCTGTTCCCTTTTTTTAATTTGAAGTGTTAATGTATAGTGAAATTCTGAGGACAAAAACAGTGGCTGATATTACACATGAATCCAAATAACATTGCACAACAAACTTCTATTGTAATAAAGGCTTGATTTTCTTTCCCTCTCTTCATAAGATCAGACATGAAGGCAGAAAAGCAGAGTATATAAAGGTACATGCTGAAAAAACGCTCTGTCCTTTCCTTTGTATTGATGGGAACAATTTGTGAATTTAGTATAAAGGATAGTTTGAGTGCACCTCAGAAACCTCAGCATGCATCTCCACCAGCTGAATAATATTTTTGAAAGACAGTTCGTGATTTAACTCTCATCTCATTTTAAATGCTAACATGAATGTCAAGCAATGTGTTTATTTTGTTTTTCAGATTGGATCTGGTCGCTTAGTAACTGTCGAAAGTACACCTCCTCAATTAATTGGAGGACCACTGGCTGTTACAGACCTTGCTCTTAGAAAGCCCTCTGTTTCTGAAGGAGCCTTAAAAAAGATCAAAAGAGTTAAAACGTTGGACTCAGTCAAGAAAGATTCAGTACCTATAGAATAGTGTTCTGAACAGTGCTTTTAATATTATCGTTAACTGTACGTATATTTTAGATACAAGATAAAATCTATTTGTAATGCTTTGATGAATTGCACAGAACATCTTGAGAGTAAAACTATATTTTGTCTTAACTAATATAAACGTGGGGATGATTTATTAATAAAGTACCCCATACAGTATGGTACAAAGGTATGTTAAGTCTAATAATTTTGTGTGCTAGTGTCAGGTTACCCTGATCCACTATCAGTAGGCCCACTATTTAGATTTCCATCTCTTGTTGTTGACACATTCCATACATTGCAGTTTAAGTACCTCTTTTGTTGAGCAGGGTGATGAACCTTCACAGAAACACATTCAGTTCTTCATTTTCTGGATACCATAGCCACATGGGTTTTGTCCAAGTCCATTTTGTTTCTTGAATTGCCACTTTTAGCATCAGGACTTCTGACTTCTATTCTCTCAGTTTTCATCTAACGACTCACTAAGAAGCTTGTCTGTGCCAACAGTTTCTCCAAGCCTGTTGGAGAGACATGCTGAAATGTCCTGCTCCTCCTGGGTTTCTCATAGTTCTTTAACTGATCTTACTATTCTGATTATTTCTTGGATACTCACCCTCTTCCACCCTAGCACCTCTAGAATACCAACACAAACTTGTGAGCAGCAGACCTTCTTGTAGATGACTCAGTTTCTAAGCTATTGCCTCCTTTCCTAACTTGGGCAAAGCCAGAATTTGCTGTATTACAATAGAGCAAGATTCCCTGAAGCTGTTACTTCATTTTAAAACCAGTTGCTATCCAGTGCTATGGCATAATTTTCTGTGACATTGCAAGGGGTTCTGTGACATACAAGCTCTGGCACACAGTATGTCATTTTTGCCTGTAAGCAACATTTGGGGAAAAGAACAAGCTTTCACTTTGTTAAATGCCAAGATGAAAAATGGAAATAAATTTGAGCTCAACAGGTGGAACTTAGTTTCCAACTCCCTTTTTTACTTCCTGAAAGAGGGATGGGGCGGGGGTGGTGTATAAGCATTTCTTAAAAATCTGTTTGTCCCTGTAACAAGACATAGCAGTGCTGGCATTAAAAATAAAGGCAGCGATTTTTGTTTCAAAATTGTCTACTTAAATTCTATTAAAAAAAGAACCCTAAGAAATTAATGAAATAAAACAAAACAGCCGTATGAAATGGTACTTAAACTTTAGAGAGATCTCCACAGGTGCAGTTTCCAAAGATCAGAAGCATTTTCTTATGGGCAGGTCTGTTAAATATTACATTGTAGGGTAAGACAGTCATCTAGTACTTAAAGCTAGAGAAATTAAATCGAGCTGTGCTGGTTTCATTATGACATTTTTTCCCCAAAATTATCTGCATAAAGTTTAAGTATGTTTTGTTAAACAAGCCTGTATGTGTATTTCTTGCCTGCCTGCAAGAAAGGTAAGCTAAGGTATATAGAGATTATCTAACTAAAGTCCTCTGTGTTAAGTAAAGTCTTGCTGAGTTGTTTATATTTCTCCGACAGCTCTTCAGCAGCTATGCTGCTTTATTACTGTTTTACAGAATGTGAAAATATATCTACACACTGGGGCCACAAAAAGTTTACTCCATTGTCTTTTCACAATTAAAACCAAACAATAAATATTTGACTAGGAGAACAAAGACTGTGACATTTAGAGGTTTTTTATATGCTTGCATACATGTGAATGTGTGGGTGACTCGTTACTACTGGCAGCAAGGCAGTGGCCCATTTTGTCCAAAAAGACATACAGGACTCATGAAAGTCCTTCCAATTTCTGAGCAAAAGCTACTGCAGTACAGTGTAGCCAAGGTATGGATATAAAAGATCTTTTAACTGGAAATCAGTTTGTATTTATGCTCATGTAAAAACTTTAAAGCAGGCACAAAGTGAGCCCCACAGCATTCCTCCCCCAGCTGCGTCGTGCTTCTGCTGCAGACACCCTGACATTGCAGACAAGTAGTGCTCTTGTTAATTGTAATAAAGAAGGAAGGGGACAGAATTTCCCAAAATGCTTACATTTATACTTCATAAATGAATACTAACTAACACAAGACTTCACAGCAGCATAGACAGCATTTGATTTTGCCAGCCAGCCATGGACTATGGTCTGGCTGTCGGGGTGGAACCCAGGAAAACTGGGCTTGCTGTTCCTGCTGTAACCCAGGGATGGAAAGAGAGGGAGTGCTGAGTACTGGTGGAGGAAAAGATCATTCCATTCACTGTTAATCCTTCTTGTAGACACCCCAGGAACAGCCAGCTGGCTTTCCAGGGCTCTGTCATGGACAAAACAGGTATGTCCACCTGGAATTTGTTTTGATGCTGCTGCTTAGGGTGCTGTGTTCCTGTTGTTAGCAATCACCTGCCACTTTGGCAGACACTGCAGGGTGACCGTAGCAAATAATAGATTGTTCAAGCATTCTGGAGCCAGTTATGTAGATGCTAAGCACCTTTGTCTCCTATAGAAAATTAATCAAAACAAAGACTTGCCGTCTGAGGAAGGATGGACCTTTTAAAACTGCATAGGATACCTTGCTATGGCATTCAATTAAAAAATCACTAATACAGGAAACATTACCTTTAAAATGTTATTATAGTTTTACACTTCTGTAGGTGATGAATAAAATTATTTGTAGGTGTGAACAAGGGGAATTTATTTATCTGGTTTATGACAGTTAAAACACTATTTGTTGCAAATGCAGTACAGTACACAGCTTTATAAACTGGCTATTGCTGGAACAGATTAGACGACGGCTCTCAAATAGGTGCTCATCATAATGTATCAATTCCTGAAACTGCTGGTTTGGGTGTGTCATGACTCCCTCTGCTCAAAAGAAAAGATGTATTTAAAATATTTTTTGTATAAGGAACTTACAGTGATATTTATGGGTAAGAGAAATTTCTTACTCCTACAGACTACTGTAGGGGACATATTTTACAAGATGCAGTTCAATATTGTGTTTACCTAAATGAACATTCACAAATCTATGAGAATTGTTGGGTATTTTATGAACTACATGAGCTAGGCATTATGTGGGATAGATTTCTTGTTACTTAGGAAGGTTTATATGCTGTTACTGGCTAAGTACTGTTTCCTACAATAATTAAACCCAGTTGGGATCTCATAAAAGGCTAGAGCACAACAGGGACTGAACAAGCTGCATTGCTCAAGGAGTAAAGCAGAGAACAGTCAGCGTCTCTGAGTGTTCCCATTTGTTCTCAGGCTTTCTGTGCCCAGGAGAAATGGATTAACTAGATGGTTAATCTCCCTGAACTAGCTCATCCATGCTGGATAGTTTCTTATAATGGGAGCAGTAAGTCAAGCCAGTCTCTCTTTTCAAACCACTTGATGCATGGATGTCTTCTCAACTGTGATGTTGCCTGCTATGACAGGGATGGACTGTATCACCTTATTTGCCTGTATGAATGTGTAAATAAAGAGCAATCTTGTGTAAAGTACTGTTCTTAACGTGATGTAGTAGTGGTTTTGCAAATAACATTTTAATAGACAAGAAGAAGACTACTATTCAGACCTTGCTGCATAGAAAAATACTTTAATTAATCTGTAGCCTAGACTAAGCAGTGACAAAATACAAAGTTTAGACTGCACAGGACATTACAATGAGCATAATCCTTCCCTTTAGCTCGATGTCACACTTCTTTGCAATTTTTTAAAAGTAAAGTTGATTGTATGTGCAAGACACTGTATAAAATGTGTTTGTTGACATTTTCTCCATTGCTTAATGTATAAAAATATATCGGGTTTCCATCAAAATCAACTTTTAAAAAAGAGAATTATTGGAAAAGATGAGCCTCTACAAAAATACAATACAAGTTCAGACTTAAAAGCTTACCTGAGAGAACAAAGGTGTTGACTCAAAACACAAAATCATTCACATGTGCAGTGGGGAAAAGGCAACTTTGGTAGATTGCAAGACAGGAAAGCAAAAGTGACAATGTGGGAGCTCACATACTTATCAGTGATTAAGTACTTTATACAAAGAAAAGAAAAAAAAGTTGAACCATGCCAATAGATTTGTCTAAGCATCTACAGTATATGCTGTGCTTTTGTGCTCCTTCATTTTGATGTTGCCTTGCTGAGGTATCTTCGTTTTCTCCCCTTTTGGCCTAAAATGGGTTGGTGAAAGCAGACCCTGCAAGATTATGAAAGAAAGGTAGTTATTTTTCAAGCAATATGGTTAGGAATGCTAGGGTGAAATGATCTCCATGTTCAGTCTGGAAACCTGAAACATCTGACTGGGTACATCAGAAAAAAGTCTACTGCCAAGGAGGAAGGAAGCCAACAGATCTTGGATTGGTTAGTAAGATGTAAAGCCAATCACCTATATGATCTCAGTTCAGACTCATCCCAGACCATGATGACCAGCATTTGTCACTGTTTGATGAGTCACGGTGACCATGAGATCACATTATGTGTCAATACTTTTAATGGGAAGGACAGGGTTCAAGCAGTCAGGGATTTGATCTTCCCTTTTCATGGAGGGATGATTCCCTAAAGTTGAGACTAAAGTTCAAATAACAGGAAACCTTTAGTATTGCAATGTCATGTATATGCACACAGTGATAAACAGAGAATGCAGCATCCATTTCCACACACTCCCACATGCATACCCAACATTTTTTACACTTTGTTAAATACAGAAATGTAGTACCCTAACTACTTTTGACTCACATATCGTGAAAGTAGCTACCGTTGGAAGATGCAAATACTTTTGACAAGTAGAGACAGAAAACTGGAAATTACTATATTGAGTTGTCTAAACAATCAAGGACGAGGATGAAACAGTGGTTCAGTTTAATATTAGTACATAACAGACTAACACCATATCCTGTAGTTACCTTCTGAAGTTCTATGTGAGTATGTGGAAGAATATTTGGGAGACATTAGTTGTCTTCTGCCCATTCCATGGGATCTTGAGAGCACACAGTCTACATACATATCCCAGAAGTTCTGGGCTAAATCATTGAAGAGTTCATTGTGCTTGGGCTTAGGGGATTCCTTTAGGAACATCATGAAGTCCCAGAGATCAATGACTGTATCTGCTACCTTGAGTTTCTTCATTTCCACCAGGCCGTGGGACGACACCTCCCAGCACTGATGGTCAATCTGACCCAGGCTTGCAGGAGTTTCTTTTTGATAGTCTAGATTGGCATAAACCAAATTCAGTATCAATATACAGCCCAGCTGAAGATACCACCTTCGTTTCCATACAAATTCCATACTCCAAGAAGATACCTGAAAGAAAGTGTATCAAATCAGTGATTCTGCTATTATGTAGTTCATTCTCACATAACTTTCAAGGATATCCCAAGAGATGATTTAGGCATATATACAGAAAAATATTTCTTTTCAAGCCATGGAATAAATACCAGTCAATGATCCCTAGCACTGGAGCTAGGTTTGCACTTAGAAATAGTTAACACTGTTTAGAACAAAAAAACCTGAAGCAGGAAGTTTGACGTGGTTGTAGCCTATGTCAGAACTGCTCCTTGAGCTCAAGACTTCTTCCCTTAAACTCCTGTGCTTAGATCACCAGTAAAATCAGATTACTAGCAGATGCTTAAAGAATCCTAGTTGTATGCTATTTTAAATGATTGCAAACGAGTAACAGTTATAAGTAGCCAGTCTTTCATGGAACAGTCCAATTCAGAAAGGTGGTAGTGAAGGAATAGTAAACCAGACCATTACGCTGTATTGGGTGAGCATAGGCAGCTTAGGAACTCATTCAGTCGCTGTTGCAAGACTGGAAAAAGGCAAATTCCTTTCTGGCTTACGTTAGAAAATTAAGCAAACTTTTGGCACATTTTTTTCTAGCATATATGCAAAACACAGAAACTATCTGGAGAACTGGAGATGGAAAGAGTAATAACACAGGAGGCATAATGAGAACTTCGAATGCTGCAGAATATGTAGTCATTATTATATACAGATTCCCTCTGGGAAAACTGCAGTTTTCCTATGATACATATTCCATATGCTCAAAGCAGGTTTAGACAGAACATCACTAAAACACCTGACAATTTTTTTATTAGTCCTTCCTATCAAGATAAAGTACAGTGGAAGAGAAGAGTAAACATAAGGAGGAAAACAAACCAAAAAAAAACAAACAAGTGAGCACAGGAAGAAGTCTGAAGAAAAAGATGACAGGCAAGACTTTCAGATAGTGCCCCTTATTTTGGTGTCCTAAAACAATTTTGTGTCAAAGAGTTGGTGCCATGCTCATTCCCACAGTTTCCAATTCAGAATGTAAAATACAATTCCAAAATGATGTGAGGTTTTGTGCAGATACAAGGCAACTTTTTGGGCAACTGTGCAAATTTAATTGGGAACGTGGCCAGAATTGCAAGTGTGCTCTCCCATTCAGAATATCTTCGGGCACTGGCAAGATGAAAAGTTAGTCTATGATGTCTTCAAAGTGTTAACACACTGATGTCCTCTCTGCAACTCCTAGGGATGCAATTAAAGAGAGGATAACTCACAGATAATACAATATGTTCGTGAACTGTCTATAAGAAGATACAAGAGTTGAGGTGACACCGTGGAGTTCACAGTCATACCGAGCTGGGTCAGGAAACAGGACCTGTGGTCTCAGGGCTCTGGGGTGATTTTTAGTTTGAATGTGCCATTAACACAGCTGCAGCCATCTGAGGTCCCTAAACTCAAGTATTCCTTTACCTCACCTTCAGGACTCAAGGGAATGAGACAGACAGATACCCCCAACCTAACTCCTTTCTAAAACTTCACTTGCTAGCTACATTGCAGCAGGCAGCAGGATTACCTGCCTTAGCATCCCGAGAGCTTAGGAATATGCATTAAAGTTTCTCTTCCTTGGGTTGTTAGAAAACTGGCTCCAGTTTTCAAAACAAGCAGGGATAGAAATGCTTCTCTTCTCACTTCCACTTCTCTAGCCACCAGTATTTCGAGGAAAGACACACTAGCAATTTAGCTACAAAGAAGGAAAACGGCAGCCAGGAAGCCACCAACATTTTGAGTTGTTTCAATTTCATATTTTAATCCAGCTAAAAACTAAAATGCTAAGGGTCCATTTGAACACCTCAAACAGGAGCAGAGACCACACCAAGCCTCACAGCGACTTTGAACTAGTAACTCTTCAGTACAAGACAGATGAGTTTCAGAAAGGCAATAAATAAAGAGCCGCAGGAGAAGTCATACTTACAGTTTCTGTGACGAGATGGAGAACAGTAGCCTCGAAACAACAGTAGTCAGCTACTTGAAGAAAAAGCAAGAAATTCCTGAGAGGGCTGCAAGTGCCCGGCAGCTGCTGGATGCTCCAAGGATGCCGGGATCCCACTGCACGCAGACGACTCTGCCACCGGCAAAGCAGCAGCACCAGCAGCAGCAGCAGCACGAACTCGGGTGAGGGGGAAAGGCGGGAGGGAGCGGTGGCTGTGGCAGCCCCACCTCTTGCTGCAGCAGGAACCCTGTCAGCCCAGTCCGGGCTGGGGTCTCACCTGGAGGGACTGCGTTTGGGGGGGGTAGGGGGAGTGTTTGGTGAGGGAAGGGGAGAGGCAGAGGGCTGTCAGAGGGAGGAAAATACAATGGATAGCAAATCTTTCTCCAAATCGGTAACATGAATGCTCTCCTTGTTTTATAAAGCCAGGTTTCCTGTCTGCCTACCAGAACGCGCACCCATCAAAGACAGCGTTTCAAAATAATGGAAAACAAGTGTACAGCCCAGAATTTCTAGGCACAGTGTGCATCCACTACTCCAGTTCCCTTTTTGTAGAAACTTCCTGACTTGGGATCGATTTGACACTATTTTTTAAAATCTCCCATAACTTGGTTGCCAGAGAGGATTTCGATGCCATTTTATCTGTACTTGACAATACCCCCTGCAGGAGCTGGCGCCAGCGCCAGCTGCTGCGCAGTGGTGTTCACGTCCCACATCGTCCAGCCAGCAGCAGGCCAGCTGTGCCAGTGGTTAAACACTTGTCTGTTGTTTTGTTTCTGGCCACTTATTTTCTCTGCTAAGGAGCTAGGCTCATGCACACGTTTAGAAGAGCTCCATTTCCTTCGAGGGACAGCAGCTTATGAAGAAGATTGCTTAGATTCCTAATTATTTCTTCCATACGTGTTCTTATGGTACACCAGTTATGATGTCTCATCAGAAGCGTAAGGCCAAAAATAAAAAAGAGACAGATTCTTGTTCCAGCTGCTGTGGATTTTCCATGGGTCTATGTGTTGTAAGTCAACCCAGCCAGACCCAGTACACTATATAAAATAACTTCTATATCCTGCTAGTAAAATAAGGTCAAAAATACCATTTTAACTAAAGAGTGTCAGGGAGCCAAGAGCATTAAAATGTGTAAGAGGCCTTGACTTCCTATAATGGACAAATTCCTGTCCATAAATTTGCAGTTCTGTTTCTCCCTCAGTCCTGGCACTCCTCCTTGGATAGCTCAGTCAACTCCACACTCAGCAAGCTGGATTTCTGGAGCCTGTTCTAGGTATCTATTGTGCCCAATTCAGGACAGGTTGCCCGAAATTGAATTCTACAAGGATGAGTATTAGGATTATTACAGCTATCTTGTTTTACATAATTAAAGCTTAAATTTCTTTACACAGATTTTTCTGACAAATTTCTCAACATGTATATTCAAATCACCTCTTAGATCACCAAGGAAAATGGATTGCATCATATTCTGAAATCCAGATGATTTTTTAGGGAACTCTTCATACACTGCATACATGCTTTCTAAACTCTCCAAGGAGACTGTTGCTTTCAAGGAAGATCATCAGTCTTTTACCTTCAGAGGCACTAGAAAGTTTGTCAAAGTAAAACCATCGGCAACCAACATCATTAAACTTGAAGCATTTTTGCAAATATGCTGAAATTCTGTGTTTCTTTCTAACCTGCTGCAGTTTGATGTCAGATTATAAGTCTGAATGTAGCTGCCTCTCTTCATGTCACAAATTCCTGCAGCTGGGAATATGGAACAAAATCAGTTATGAAAACTGGCAATGCCTCAGAAATCTTCCAGGATTCCTGTGCCCACTTCTGCACTAAAGGACTGGATCTTGAAGCACTGAAGTCCCCCACTTTACTGGTGTCTCAGTGCAGCTCATCACTGTACAGAAGAACAGTTCATAACCTGAGAACTACTGCATAAGGGATGTCCTAGCCCTTTTCCTATTGCATATAATGGAAGGAAGTAATTTTACTCCCTCCTCACCGACTGAGGGCTGGAAACGGCTCTTGCCAAGAGAAGGCAGCTGGGGGTTCCTGTGGCCCAATGCTACATGGTCTGGAGTGGGTCTCCTGAGTTACTTCACTTTGTCTTCGAGTTTAGACACCCACTTACAAAGAATAACTTGCAGACCTGTGGCTTTTACCAATGTGATTTCCCCATCTATTAACTTAAGAGACCAGAGTCTGCCATGCGTGGTATAAGGATCTGTGCATGTTTTGAAGACCTATGGCATGAGGAGTGGTAAACAGGGTTACTCTATAGAACCAAATTTGAAAGTCAAAGGAAAAGACTTGCATGGAAAGCTCAAACAGAAGACAAGTTTCTTTTTCATATACAATCATTCTAGCACAATGTGGGGACAAATACTTTGTCTGCAAGTAGTGTTCAGGCACCTTGAAAACAAGTGCTCCGAATGTCATCAGTCTGGTGCCTGCCTCACAGAAATTACATCTTCCTAAAGGCTGTTCGAAGGTTCACAGAAAATGTCAGGTATCTGAGGCACTGGCAAGACTTGGGCTCCCTCACACTTCTCTTTAAAGGCATGAAATTTCAAAAGGCCACTGTTCAAAGTACGATGAAAATGCTGCATCTGGCACACAGCAGAAAATCACTTCACTCTGTAATGCTGGGTCCATGTATCAAACCCTGCTGAACCTATGCACAAAACCAACAGCTCTCTTCAAGGTGGTGTGTACAGTTCGACATCGGAAACTCTCCTGCGTGAGATGTTGCCTGAAGGAACGCGGTCCGCTCTATACCAGGAGAGGGCTGATGTAACTAAATTGCAGCTGCTCCTTTCTTGAATTTGAGTGTCACCCAACAGCTCAGGACTGTAATTTAAACTTTGTGCAGTACTTTACCCCATATGAAAAATAACGTACCCAGAATTGTGATGTCTGAAGCACTTAAGCATGTAAAACTTTAACAGTTCAGACCCAGAGAACCTCCTCTCTCTAAAGGAAGGCATGGCTTGATGAGAACATAGGACAAATACGCAGTAAAATTGGGTCTATTAGG